GAATAAATGGGAAGTGAGTTCATACTCTATTAGTGACTATGAGAGATGGTTGTTAAAAAGATCCCAGCACAGTTCCTGCTCACTTTCTCTCTCAGCAAGCAATCCCTGCCGGCTCTCTGTTGCCTTTCACCATAAGCGGAAGCAGCCTGAGGTTTTTACTAGATGCTCAACCTTCCAGCCAGCAGAATCATGAGCCAAATAAATTGCTATATATTTGTAGAGATGGGTTGTTGTAGAGATGGGTTCTCTCTCTGTTGCCTAGGCTGGTCTCTAACACTTGGCCTGAAGCCATCTTCCTGCCTCAGCCTCTCAAATTTCTGGGATTACAGGACGTGAGCCACCTTACCTAGACTCGGGTATTTCATTATAGCAACACAAATGGACTAAGAGATTGGGAATCTATTATTCCTACAAAATCAAGTAAAGCATTTGTGTTCTGATTGATGGGGTGTTGTGTTCTGACTGATGGTGAGATGTTCACTGGAGCCTCTAACTGTCCAAAAGGATTCTGCAACTTGGCCAAGGTTGAGCTCGATTGCAATGGGGCACCAGATATTCTTTGCATTTGATAACTTCACAACTCTTTAGAGAGCTGAGACCAGGAGCGTCCCCAGCCTCACTTCGTTTCAGCTGCCTCTTATCCTCTTTGCTTTAGTAAATATTTTGTTGTTCCCTTTGGTCGTTACTTTCTTCTTCAAACTACTTTTGTACTTAGTACACACTTCTACCTATTGCCTATATTGTGCTGTATTTCATCTGTTTCCTTCTCGGACTATGAAACTTTGAGGGTAAAGACCAATTCTGTATCCTTGGAATGTGTTACAGTGATCCAAAGGGATATATAAGAAATTGTGCTGGGCATTGTTTTAGTCTTTTTGTGTTTCTATAACAGAATACTCAAGATGGAGTAATTAATAAGAAAAGAGGTTTATTCCGTATGTGGTTCTGCAAGCTGGGAAGTTCAAAAGTATAATGTTGTATCTAAACAGCTTCTGGTAAGGACCATGCACTTCTGAGAAATCACAACTCTCAAAATGACAGAGAATGAAATAGCAGGAGGGCATGTGCAAAGAGACCACAAGGTAAGAGAGGAGGCAAGAGAGGTCCAGGAAGCCAAACTCACTTTTCTAATAATCTGGTCTGGAGGTAACTAATCCAATCCCGTGATAGCAAGAGCACACTCTCTCCCAAGAGAGGGCATATATCATGGCATGAAGGATCCAACCCCATCACCCAAACACCTTCCACCAGTCCCTACATCTCAGCACGACTTCATAGGAGATCAAAGCCCAGCATGAGTTTCTCCACATCCAAAGCATGGCAGGTGTTGTCTTAGGGCTGCACTTTTCTAAACTCAGGAAATGTGCCAATGGGACATGGAGGGACAGAAAATGGATTATCCAGGTCTAAAGAGGGTGACAGCTGGTGAAAATATGGTTCACGGACAAGCAGCATGATATCATCTGGGG